CGGAATTAATTAAATTTATTGCAAGAATGTTCTCCTTCACTTGCTAGCAGAAATGAGGCAGTTCAGTCTTTACATACATTAGGAGTATGTCCAAGATGCTCATTAGTGAGCCTACCCTTTCTGTTGAAGGTTTTCTCAAGTGGCCTAGTAATTAATGCAAGTTATCATAACATGGATCCCGATAACTGAGAACTAACAGCAACTCAAACTCGCTTAGAGCCGACCACTGAAGCGGTAGTAACAACTGCAGCTTTCGGTGTCAGTCAGTTTTGGAATGGCAGAGAATCCAGCATCCATGCCTGCACTGGTTCACAGTGTACTATGTGTTTCTCTTGTACTTGTTTATGTTCATACCAATCTAAGGTAGACTATTTTTTATAATACATAGCTGTTTTCTAAAACTCTGTTACATATTTTAACTGAGAATTCTAATCTGAACTTTACAAGAGAGAGTCCTTGCCTGTTGGTTCTTGGCTGCCAGCAGCCTTCCCAATCCAGTTTCCATGGGAACAAGAGTCACAGTGATCTCTGGAAAACAATGCAATAGAAAGCTTTTAAAAAAGCATTATGTAAATCCTTGGCGTTTCTTTTTTTTTTTTTTAACTGATCTGACATCTGATTTCATTAAAGCAAAAGCTAAAATTGAACATTAGTGCCTGCGGCAACACTGAGTTTCTCATGCAGTGGACTTGTCCTTTATCACCTTTGGTTCAGAATATTCCAGGATACCCATGGTACATTATCTGCACGCAGTTCATGGCAGTGGCATGTACGCTAATAGAGTATCTTGGAGGCCTTTCCTAATGTATTTTTTTTCACTCAGAAGCTAAGCAAAATTCAACATCTGACTTAAAGCATGTGTGTAAGGACTTATCTGCATGAAAAGAGAGTAGTATCTGTCTGTAACAAAGAACTATATGCAGTCAGCTGTCTGAAGAAGTCTTCTATGCTCAGGTTGTAACCTTATCCTTGGCTTGCTGGAGCAAATCAGAACTCCTGTGAGGCCAATATAGCTGATCCAGATTTATAGCTGTTCAAGAGCAGTAATTTATTCCAATGGGAAAAAAAATATGATGATGTGTACTGTGACGGTGTTTGAATGTGAATCATTAGTGGTCAAACCTTCCTTGAGTAGTCAAAAAGCTTCCTGAACTCAGTGGAGTGGCACTTTGTGAATTTACATCAGTGATGTGATTATAAATTCCATACTAAATGGTAGAAAATCATAGGTTTAGAAACATTCTCTGCAGACATAAGCAACTGTACAGAAAAACAACAGCATATGCTTCCAAACGGGTAGTACTTGCACTTATTAACATAGCGTTGTTACCAGAGTGGATGGGTCTCATTGCAGTGACCAACAGCTGAAGCTTTACTTTTACTCTTGTAAGATAAAAAGGATTTTAAGATCTTGAAGATCAAGTGAAGAGACCTCTTTTGAACTGTCTGTTGAAGACTTTGAACTACAATAAAATATGATCTGTGCTTTACCTTTGCCAATACAGGTGAAAGATACGTACTTTTTCAACAAAAAAATACAGGAGAAAAAGTATATGTAATCAGTTTTGCTTTATAGACAAGTGAAATATAAATTACCTCCCACAGAGACATTCTGAATTGTATGAAGATGTACATAAGGACCTTAAATATCCTGTTGAAGCAGTGAAAAAGTTTCACATTAATTTCTACATACACTGAATGAAGGCCTAAACTTTTTGAAGTTCCATTAATTTCAGAGGGATTATAGCCAACATGAAATCTAGTCCAATATGCCATAAGCTTCATATGTAGAGAAATATCTGAAATACTGGCAGTTTGATTAGGGAGGCAAATCTAGTATTACCTGTATTAGGCTTATTATAATGATCTTTGCCTTCAAGTCTAGAGGGAGTGTTTTATATGATATGCCAAGCCTAACAAAATGGGCAAACTAAGGAGCATTTTTGTAATATGCCATTAAATCAAGTCTTGTGCTGTTGTTTATCACCATCAATGTTTCTTTTCACAGTGTAGCTACTTTTTTTGTTAATGTTAGTGCTGATTAGGTCATCTTTATTGGAGGTGTAACTGAGCAGTGAAAACATCTGTTTGTTTTGTATAGCTTCCTCCAGCTTTGCAATGCAACTTGAAAAGGAGAATCATTGAGAGATTCAAGAAGTCCCTCTTCAGTCAGCAGAGCAATCCTTGTAACCTGAAATCAGAAATGAAAAAGGTGTAGTACACCAGTTACTACCAATGGTCTACTTTGTCTCTTCTATTTGAATTAAGCTATTGATATGAATATCATAAAAATGTAGGATTCCATTTTTAAAATGAAATATTTAGAATGTTCTCTAGTTGTCCCTTATTTGGAAAACATGGAGCTTCTTAAGTAAGCAGTTTCTACAGGTTGGTTTCAAGTCTGTGTGTGATCATTAAACCGATTGTTGTAAATGAAAGAACCTGCTAGCGGCTAATGCGCAAAACCAGATTTCATCTCATCAGAGCTCAGTAAGAGAAGAGGAAGGAAAATGTAGCTGTTTGTGGCAAAGGCTGCCAAAGGTTATGTAAACTCTTAAGTAATGTAATGTAATCACATTAATGTAATTTACTCTTAGTTTCCCAGTACTATTCATGTTTTGGAATGTATTCCTACTAAAACTATGAATTTTAAGAAAACACTATCCCAGAGTGTCTTTAACATAGCATGCCTCGTTCCATTGTTGCACAGTGTGTCAGAAACAGTCTAGTGTCATTTAAAAATAACACCGATTTGCAAGAATGGCAGGAGTAAAGAACCATGCCTGCACATTTTCTAATGACACGCCGGCTGCTCTCCAGCAGAGAAAGAGCTAACGGCTAATATCAGAATTTCTAAATGTTCCTTCAAAATCTCCTGAGGAGACTGTAGTCAGCAGAGGATCTGAAAATTACATCCTCGGCATCTGTGTACTGTGAGAGACTGTGAAGCTAAGACATTTCTTTTTTGAATTGATGGCAAAGCAGTTGTTAGGTATGTTTATCTAAAATTTGATGACACAGATAATTATTACTCACATGATTGCCCTGTGTAATCTAATTGATTGTAATCTACTTTCCCTGAACTGTGGAATCTTCTAAGTCATTGTTCACTATGGAATGGACTGGCCCCAAACGCTACATCCTTCCTCTACTTTTTTAGTAATTCACCTGAGATGCTTAAGCTCCATGGAAGGTGGATACTTAGTGTTTACATTGGTACTGCATTTGAAAGGTAGTTAAAGATACCTCTCTGATCCATGGTTTCATGCCAATTTGCTGTCCTGTAAATCAAGCTGGGATTCACAGTTCCAGTATTTCAACCATAACATTAAATCTGAGGAAATATTTGCTAATTGTGTATTGAGTTGATGCTTCCAGGAAATGATTCCCAAAAATCTGGAAAGAAAACCAAAATGCTTATTATAAAATTACCTTAATTTTCAAATGCCCAGAAATAAAGGAATCTATTTATTTAGGAAGTTCTAAATGTTATCAACTGTAAAATTGTGTTGGCTTCAGAACTATTGGATACGAAAGTGAAGAAAAGGGAAGAAATACACTATTTAAAAAGTAAATGGGACTAATTAGAAAATGTTTGAAATGCTGAATGCAATTCTGGACATCTCTACCTTGAAGGAAATAGTTACAGAAACTATTAATAGAAAGTAACAACAAACAACACAGAAGGATGGGGAACTGATAAACAGTAGGGAATAAATGGTACACATTTTACCAAAATCACCACCATAAATACATTGAGTAACATGGATATCATTTGGAGATAATAGGAAGAACCTAAATAGAGAAAAACATAAGGTCGAACTCTTCCAGAAAATGTTGTTATGTGGTTGTGCAATTTCTGCAAGTAAAATTTTAAGATCATGGGGTTTTGTCTATGCTGAATTAGCCTAATTAGAATAGTGGACAAAGAGATCCCTCCTCTGATCAGTGATGGGGTAAAGGTCTTCCAACAACAGATATTCTGTTTTGGTAACTGTAAAAGTGTTAACATGCTACAGAAATGCATAACTGGAATTTCTTTTCTGCCCACAAAGATGTTTTCATGTCAGAGCTGTTACCAATAGATATTTTCAAAACTAGATGTTTTTTGAAGTTTAACGTCAGTATCCCTGTTCACTTAATCAAGTAGCTAATCTGACTTTCAGGTTTCAGAAGTGCTGGGATCCCTCGAATGGGAATTGTACCACTTGAATATGGACTAAGAACTTCACTTGAAACCCCAGTATTGAGAACCTGAGTCATTGGCTGGTCATTCCTATGTTCGAGGGAATACACTTCCCTGTTTATCTTCACACAAACGTGTAGTTTGTGTCATTTTATTCAGATAGTCTAAAGAACTCAGTGTTTTATACTAGGTGCAGATTGGCAACTTGCAATGTTCAGTCAGTGTTTCTGGAGAGAAGGTAGGACATTCACAATTGTGTTCACTTTTTCATTAATCTAAAATATTGAAATCTCTCTTGACTTCTGATTGCACTGGGAAACATAGGAAAGGGAAAACTGCCTCATAGGAATCTGAAGTTTTGGAAGGTTGGAGATTTCAGTTGTCCTTTGCTTTTTTCTTTTCGTTCTTTTTTTTTTTTCTTCTTCTCCAGCTGCTGCAAGGTTCTCCTGAATTGATTGAGCTCAACTTCTTCACAGCAGACTGGCATGTGGTACTTCTCTCTTCAGGTGGAAATATGTTGTTTCCAGATGATAGAAAAGGTAAAGAAAGAAAACAATGGCAGATTAAAAAAAAAAAAAAGTTACTCATATTTTTGGTAGCTTGTTTTGTAGTGATGAAGCAGGATTCTCTTTTTCCTCTTTTATTATTATTTTTTTTTTTTTGTCTAGCACTTATGCTGGTCAGCTGCAAATTATTATCAACTGTGAAATTATAGAATTACGTAAGCATAAATAAAAGTCAGTGGAGCCTTGCATCATTTAGCAGATCTGTCCATCACTTATTCACCACGATAACAGATCTGTTTTGTTACTCACTTGACACAGATATCTAAATACCAAGAGTGCATCAGAAGGCATGGGAAGTTGGGAAATCATTTAAGTCATAGAAATCAGCGAGGGTAGTGTGTTAGGTGTCTGAGTAATGCCCTGTAACAGCTGAGTCTGACAGCTACAAACAAAACCTCTGTAGTGGCATTTATATTTCTAGTAAAGTGTATGGTATCAAAGCAGGAGAAATTGCTGCTTTAAGATCTGTATTTAAAGACAATAAAGTTATGTTGACTATACTGATTTTCATTATCAGGTTGTTTTGTTTGTTTGCTTTTTGTTTTGTATAATTTCTGTAAGATATGCAGTGATATCCACTGATAGAATATTCTACTAATTTAAGAAAGTATACTTTGGAATTATAACGGATTAACAAAGATGCAAATAACACATGGCTCATCCATGAAAATCAATAGAAGGGTTTGTAACTGAAAAAGTCCTACTTAGAATTTACCTGTCTTTGCATGTGATTATTAAACAAACTCTAGCTGAACTCTGTATTGTTGTTCTGTCATGTTTGAAATAGTTATATTGGGATAATTAAATTACCTAGCTAGACTGAGCCCTACAAATGAGGAAGGAAATTCTACACACTATACCACATCTATATAATGTAAGGGGTGTGTGTATATATATATGTATATATATACTTTAAAAAATGAATAGTGTCATATATACTTTGGACTAGTGATATTCAGTGTGAGAAATCATTAACTCCCTCTTTAATCAAACCTACCATCACTGGCACCATCCAGAGTGGGGAATCACAGTTCCTAGTTCAGAGACTTGTTTCATCATATGATTCCTTGTGCAGTGGACATAAGGGAAATGTACAGCCTGTATTTTGGCATTTGTGCCATTTCCATTCTCTAAATACAGGAAAAGCTATGTCACAATCCGTGGACTACAAGACATAATAACACCAAAAACTCTGGTGCCTGAAAGAAGGGTGAGAAACTGGTTTTGCTGGCCTTTGTGTTGAAACTAGCATATCCATTCCACAGCTTATTGCAAAAGTGTCAAGGGTGATATTTGAGTAAGAAATGAGTCCCAAACGATGACTTTAAATATGAACTTAATTTTGTTCCTGGAGACAATAAGGCAATTTGTTCAGATGCCCAGTATTTTTGAATCTCTTAACCTGCAAAGAATACTTTTGTCCTCACAAATTGCTGCTGGCTGTGTGCCCTTTCCACTATAAATTGTAAGTGAGGAAGGAGAAGAAAGTTTCATTGCTGTGTTCCGTTACATTAAGTATTTAAAATATTTTCCATCCATTAGAATGCTTTCATAATGTGATAACACTGTGTGCCTCAAATGTTCATGTCATGCCATAAAATGATGAGGAAGCATAACCCCCAAATTCAGTCGTATAACATTACTTGCCTTTTACTTTAAGGTGGTGTTGGCATTTCTGACATAGCAGAAGGGATGACGTATGAACAGTTGCAGGTAAGCCATAAATATGCCTACATGTATTAATTTATTATTTTTAATAAAGATAATTTATAGAAATTAATTTCTTTTATCTTGTAGACTCTCATTGAAGAGGTTCTAGAAGAATGTGGCTATTACAATTTCTTTTCTAATGGGTGAGTCTGTTCAATTTAAAAAGAAAAATTATGATGTGCTAAAACCAAATGTGTCATCTGCCTGTTTGTGTTGACAATTTCACTTTAAACTTAGTGCAATACATGGTTTATTGTCATGTATGGGCTGAAAGAAATGTGTGTGGGACATAGCTAATCTAAGCAGGTTTTTTTGTCCACATTTGTTTTCTTCACTCAGATGATAGAGGGGTACAAGTCATTAGTCCTCACATTTTTCCAATATAAAACCACAGTTGAATGAAAGTTTAAGTTAAATGGAAGTAGGTTTTGCTATAATACTCTACCATTACAGGGTGTAGAGGATGAAGCTGACATACTGAGTACAGCACAAGAAGCAGAGTAAGTCTTTGCTTAGCATAAAAGTGCAGGGGATGAAAAAACTTAATGGTCTTTGAAACTAAGCAAATTCCTTGTTGTAGAGATGGTATATCTTTCCTGCAGGAAACCTTTGAGGAACACAAAAAAGAAAATACATGAAAAGTATTACAGTCCACAACATAAGCTTAGCATTTCTCATTCTTTTTACGGCTAGCTTGTTATTTATCATCTCAGATATTCTTTAGTGAAAAAAAAAAAAAATCACTACTTCCATTAAGTAAGTCTGTTCCTTGTCTTTCTGGTAATCACCATTTTAAAGCCTGGGAGACTACGGTTAGGTATTCCAAAACATGTAAACAAACATACCACCACGCCACCACCCTCCACCTCCAATTAAGATATTAAAAGGTTTTAATAATGTATAGTTCCTGGTGCCTCAGTGGTATTTTTCATCTATTTATTATCTCTGCAAACTTTTCTGTAGGGATTGACTCTGGCTTGAAAAGTTTCCAATGTTAGTCTGAATATTTTTATAGGCTATTCATTAAATTGGAATTCCAGTTTACAAGTGTCTTGCAGCTGCCAGCTGTAAGTATTGAAAAAATCATGATTCAGCACTCCCAAAATAAAATAATAATTCCATCTTTAGATCTTCAGGGTATACTTGAATTATGTTTACAAATCACTTCTGTAGCCATGAGGTCTAACAAATTTGTTTATAAGTGTTTTCGAGTACTTAAAATTTTTGTTCTAATCACAAGCTCCCAGAATTTGGTGCTGTAGAAAAAATATCACATAACTTAGGAGAAAAAGCAAAAGTAAAAGAAAATATAAAAGGCTACCATTTTTTTAACATCAAGATCTAGCAAGCCTTATTGTAAATGTATAAATGTGTTGTAGTTGTACAGATATTTATCTCACAGACTGGCAAAAGGCATCTTACTGTAACTAACTGTAACAAAGCAGGTGTGTGCTGAATATGGACTTGAGTATTTTAGACAAAATGCTATTAAAAGAGATCCACTAATGGAAATCATAGAATATCTCAGTTAGAGGGACCCATAAGGATCATTGAGTCCAACTCCCAGCTCCTTGCAGGACTACCTATCACTAAACCATGTGACTCAGAGCATTGTACAGGCATTTCTTGAGCCCTGACAGGCTTGATGCCATGACCACCTCCCTGGGGACTCTACTCCAGTGACTGAATATCCTCTCACAGAAGAACTTTTCCCTAATGTCCGATCTCAACTTCCCCTGGTGCAGCTTCATTCCATTGCCCCGTGTCCTATTGCTGTAGATGTAATCTCTGAAAGGTAAAGGGTGCTTGAAGATTGCAGGCAAATATGCTGGTACTTTCAACATGTCACTTAGGAATGCCACAGGAACACACGAGACTAACAGCAGTAAAATAATTAACATTCTGATTTTCCTGATTTATTCAGGACCACTTACTTTTCTGCTGTGCTGACATTCTATAGAGTGTAGTTGTTTGTAGAATCTTAAGTTACTTTTCTACATTTTAAAAATTTTATTTCAGAGGAGACAGAATATTCTTCATAGCCACATGGGTTGACAGTGTGGTGTAAGGTTTTCCTCCCTATTCCGTGTTTATACCCAAGAGGAAACAGGGGAAAAGAGCAAGCAGTACATTTCCACACATACATAATTCTGGAGAAGGCCAGTGAATGCTCATCTTTCTTCACATTGGTGGATATGCAATGTAGTTGATTTTTTTCCCAGAGCACAGATGATCTGGAAGTTGCACTGTGTTTCTCCTGATGGATGCAACTGCTTAGTAGCACTGATACCATGTTATCCACGGTCAGTGCTGATCTGTGCTTTGTTCATAGGACTCGTAGCAAAGACAAGATTGATTTGGAGTGGGTGAAGAGTGGAGTGAAATCTCCTTATAGGTATGAATCTCCTTAGAAGTTTAGAAGTATGCTGTCTAGGTCTGATTCCACACGCCTCCCTCACCCCGCCCCCCTTCCTGCTTAGAATTGTTAATGTGTGCATTTAACAGCTATGGTTGTGGACTTTGACCCACTGGACTGCAGGCACGTCTCTCACTCTAGCATATCCTGGCTTTAGCTGGCAGATACAGAATAGTCGTACTGCAACCCAGTTGTTGATCTGTCACCAGCAACAATATCTGCCCTTGATTTTTCACTGTACTTTGAATCCTGTTATCTGCTGTGATGCATAATTACATTCCCCTGTCACTATTACATTCTTTTTCAGACAAGTTTCTACTCCCAAATAACTATTTTTCCTTATCTTCCAGAAATTTGACAGACTCTGCTTTGGCCTTGGCTGTCAAAAACATGCCTCTATTTCCAGAGGACTTGCCATGTTTTCTAAAGTAGGCTCTGCTCAATGCTCAGAGCTTTTAGAACTTAAGCAATCTTTTTTTTTTCTTCTCACCCTCTCTCCACATAGTCAGTCTGGTTTTGATAGTTGTCCATTACTGAATGATTCATTTGGCTAACAGACATGCATCATTAGGTTTTGCCTCAAACTCTCCAAACAGCTTAAGAGAGCTGGAAGGACAAATTACTCTTCCAGGCTGCACTGCGAGTCACTTATCAGTGTCCACCATTATCTGGTTTTATTCCACCATGCAGAATTTGCTTTGCAGCCCGCAGAGCAACATCCTGTCAGCCATTCGTGCCTCAAACTGTTTTGAGCCTTGCTCTAATTCATCTCTTGTATACACAGTGAAACATTTCAGAAGCAACTGCAAATTTTCCAGCAGAAACTCAGTACATCCTGTAGCCTTCCTGGGATCCCCTTCTTAGGAAAGTGTTCACACAAACATTTTAGAAAAAAATATTAGGTGTGATGAATATCTGTATCTTGTTTGTTTTAGCAACATACAGGGAAATACACTTTTTTAACTTTCTTAGCTTATTTTAAAAGATTTGAGTTTTTTAGTTTGTAAGATGGGGAGTTGTAATGATGCAGCATGTGTGGGTCTTTCACACTGGAAGCAGAATGAGTGTTTCTAGCAGGAAACAAATTGCCTTCCCTTCTGCTCATAATAAGTTTCTAACTCTTCTAATAGGAATGTGAAAATAAACCAGAACTACAAAAGGCTCAAAAATCTTCAGAAGGCACATGGGAACACCACAAACTTGATTTGTGAAGCTGCAAATTTTTAAAGATGTTTCTTCATTTTAGTGCCAAATCTCTTCATGATTTCTGATCAAGTTGACTTGACAATATCAGTTCCATATGTTGTAAGGCTACAAGGTGAACTCTGTTTTAGAACAAAGAATTCCACAGCTGCTGTGCAACAACATGGGACGTATGCTATTGCTGAAAGTACTATTAAATAAATAGTACTTTTAAATAGCAGAATAAACAGCTAGATAGCATATAGCATAATAGTGCAATCTCCTACCTCATCATGAAACAGACTTTATACAGAAAACTTTCTGAAAATACTTTTTCTTTATTTTTTGTTTGATTGGAATTTGCATGTATTGTCTTTCTTTCCCATTGCTGTTGCCCCTTGTTGTGTCCCCAGAATCCCAGAAATATATGATGGGAAACCAAATCTTAAGTGAGGCAGTGACATGAAAATTGTAGTAGGATGAATAATCTGTATCAAGGGTTAAAAATTATTCAGGCAACTTGATTGGGTGATGAGAGAACATGAATTCTTTAGAAACTGAGACAGCTTCAGAAGAAAAATGTCATGCTTTTTTTTCCCCCTCCATTTTCATTATAATAGTAATTACTATCTCAATACCAGTCATTTCATGGGGATTAATGACCAGCTGAGGATAATGACCCTCAGCTTTATCTTGAATAATCAACTTGTGCCCATTTATCACTAATCTCCTAAAATTACTCAGCACTCCAATTGTATTACTTATTTATACAGAAATTTGGTAAACATGCATAAAAAAACCCTGTAATGTTTCAAAATTATTCTATTCACATCCCTTGTGCCACTCTTTTTTTTTTTTTTTTTCTCCTTCTGATTTAATATTATACTGCACAAGAGGCAAGCTCCTTGTTGTTTGTGAGCCTATTTATGAATAGGACAATGAATACTGGTTTCAAACTTTTATCATGCTCTTTTATAATGAAGTAGACACATAATACCCAAATTGATGAAAAAATCTATTTTTAATAAATTGCATAAAAGGACTTAATCCAAGCAGAAAATCAGTTATATGAAAAAAAAGATTTGTTATAAATAAACAAAAATGGCAATGGTCAGAGACAGGAATTGTATTTAGCTGAGTGTTGTACCTCTCTCATGGTTTAAGCTCAGCACCACACAGCCACTCGCTCATTCCCCCACAGTGGGATGGAGGAGAGAACTGGAAAGGTAAAAGTGAGAAAGCTCATGGCTTGAGATGAAGACGTTTTCATAGGTAAAACAAAAGCCATGCATGCAAGCAAAGCAAAATAAAGGATTCATTTGCTCCTTCCTATTGGCAGGCAGGTGTTCAGCCATCCCAAGGAAAGCAGGGCTAAAATTGTTGTCACAATTTTAATAACTTTGTTCGATGTAATATTTTCCATTGTTATTGAAATTTTAGAAATAGAAAAGCAACCATTCATGTAGATAGAAAGAGCTGTTTCATGAAGAAGGAAACTGTCAAGCCTGGCTCTAATGATAGCTATACATTTTTAACTACTCAAAG